CACCCTGGCATTCCCATGCTCCTTTTTGCATCGTTGCCCTGGCTCTGCAGTTCCACATTCCCACTTGGCTCCTCACATCCCTGTATTCTTGCACTCCTTTGTGCACCTCTGCATTCTGCCCTTGCTTTCTGCACCTTGGCTTCCTCGTGCTCTTGGAAACTGATTTTGCCATTTTATCCTCTCATTCTCCACTTCCCCTTTGCATTTGTAACTGGTTTCGCATTTTGCCTGATCTTCTTCTTTGCACTTGTGCATTTTACTGCTTTTTGTGTTTCCCTTTGCCATTTTCCCACAGTTTCCTGCATTTGTGCCTCACTTCTTGCATTTCCCCTTCGCACCTTCACATCTCTCCGTTCCTTTCCACATCTGGGCACTTCCCCATCACCTCTTGTGAGTTCCACTTCTGCTTTTCCACTTTGCACTGGGGGTTTTGCCTCCACTTTTTACATCTCTGCCCTCGTCTGGACATTCAGGTCTTGCTTTTGTGCACTGCTGCTTTTTGTTTGCTTCGTTTCCTCTCTATTTCTGCATTTTGCATCTTTCCAACTTTGCCTTTTCATCTTTCCACTTCTGCATCGCTTTTTGCGTCCTTCCATTTCCACATTTCCACATTATTTTCCTGCATCTTTCCACTTTCACATTATTTTTTGCGTCTTTGCTTTCCTGCATCATTTTTTGGGCATGGTTTCATTTCCATGTGAGTTTTGCATCCTCTTTTAATCCTTCCATTTGTCCCTCCTCCCATTCCCACATCATTTGGGCACCCCCTGTCCCATCCCCGTCCCCCACAGGGTCTCCATCCGCCTGCCCAGCACCAGTGGCTCCGAGGGCATTCCCTTCCGCTCCGTCCCGGAGTGGCTGGAATCCATCCGGATGCCCCAGTACACAGAGCACTTCATGGCCTCGGGCTACAGCACCATTGAGAAGGTCCTGCAGATGACCAGCGAGTGAGTCCACAGCCCCTTATTGTCCCACACTACCCCCATACTCTATCCATGGTCTCCCCTTGGAATTCCCATTTTGTCCCCATACCATCACTGTGCTGTCCCCATGCTGTCCCCTTCATATTCCCATGCCATCCTCATGCTGTCCCTGTACTGTCCCCATCTTGTCCCCTTGTTATTCCCACACTGCCCCTTGATATCCTCACAATGTCCCCATAGTGTCCCTACACTGTCCCCTTGATATTCCCATATTGTCCCCATGGTGCCCTATGGTTTTCCCCTGTACTATCCCCACTCTGTCCCTATGGTGTCCCTGTACTATCCCCACATTCACATTCCCCCATCTCCCCACATATTCACATGCTGTCCCCACACTGTCCTTGTACTGTCCCCATGCCATCCCCTTGACATTCCCATGATGTCCCTATGGTGTATCCCCACGCTGTCCCCATGCCATCCCTATGCTGTCCCATCTTCTCCCCTCCATATCCCCACACTGCCTCTTGATATCCCCACGGTGTCCCACGGGACCTGATGGGAAATGAATCCGCTCCCGTGGCACTGGCCTTGTTGGGTCAGGATCAATCGAGCCCTTCCCTTACCATGGACCTCCCCAGAGACCTTGGGATGAGCTGCATCCACCTGTCCATCCCTTGGGAATGCTGTCGCCAGGGCGGGGGGTCTGCACTACCATTTTCCACCCTAAATCCCTGATTTTTGTGCATTTCCTCCCTGTTCCCCTCCAGTGACATCAAGAAGGTCGGTGTGCGGCTGCCGGGGCACCAGAAGCGCATCGCCTACAGCCTGCTGGGGCTGCAGGAGCAGGCCAGCGCCGGGGGGGGCCCCCTCTGACCCCCCAAACTACTTGAAAGCAACCAAATGAAGACCCCCCCCTCCTCCCCGAGGGGCTTATTTATTGTTTCTATTATTATTAAGGTGGTTTTTATATTATTATTATTATTATTGTGAGTAATCCCTGGGGTTGGGGATGAAACGGGTGCACACAAACACCCCCCCACACCCCAAAATCAAGATCGAATGATGAAGATTTCAAGCTCATTTGGGGCTGGGGGAGGTGTTTTTGGGGGGTTTCCTCTTTAGTTTTCCACATTTCAAGAAAGAAACCAAGGCCTCAGCCCCCAAACTGGCTCATTTGGGCTTTTTGCTCCCTATTTATTCCTCTCCCCCCCCCCCCGGGTTTTG